CCGCACATATTTGGCATCCTTGGAGAGACGCTGCACATTGACTCACTCAGCGGTTTTCACACACGGAAACAAAACAAAAACAACGGAACCAACAGGAAGGAAGTGTTCGGACCCACACCCACGGCTCCTGCCCGGCGCTGGAAGCGGCTCGGATCAGCGGCAAAGTGCCGGGAATTCACCCCAGAGATCAGTCGCACGAATCCGGGTAAGTTCCCGAGGAGTAGCCCCCTTCTTCCTTTCTCTCTCCGGGTCTGGAACCTTCCTGGATCTCCGTGATCCCGGTTCTTCTTCTTGGGAATGACTGAAAAAAAGATGGTTTTGAAGCACGTTGAGTTTAAATTTACACACAAACATATTCACGCACGGCTGTTTTGAAACAAGTCCAACAGGCGGATGGTTGTTCGATCCCCATCCCTCCCTCTCTCCCTCCATCCCTCCCCCTCTCTCTCTCACTCCTCTCCCTAAAACCAAACCTTAACATTCCCTCATTTTCTGCCTAAATATGAACATTTGACACCGACAGTATCGACAGGACGACGATCCCGAGAGTGAAATGTGACGCAAATGATGTGAGGCGCGGATTTAGAGAGAGAGAGACAAAGCAGGGGAGAGAGAGAGTGAATGAGGGACTTGTTGCATCGGCGGGTTTTTTTTTTCTCTTTTCCAGGTTCCAGGCCCAGGGGCTGATAACACGCACACGCGTAACACACGTACAGCAGCGCCGGTACGCACGCGCAAAGAGCAGATTAATAAGATGAATAGAGAGAGAGAGAGAGAGATACTGCTGCTGAACAGGGAATGTTTTTAATTAATTTCTATTTTGTTTGAAGATTTGTTTCTTTGATCCTGTGTCCGTGGACTAAAATGTATTTTATTGATTTATTCTTTATTCACCGTAGAATTTGTCACTGTTTCGTCTGTTGTCACTGAAACAATCAGAACACACGCCTTTCACCAGTTGACCACCAGTTGAACTCAAGAACCTGACGGGAATTGGTGACGGTTCTGACTTTTCCTCGTTCTTTCTATCTCACTCTGGAGATTGTGAAAGGTCAAAGGTCAGCAGCTTCCGGAATCGTCCGTCTTGACGTTCAGCCCTGGTTCGTCGGTCGTTCACTGTGTTTTACACTGAGTGCTTTAACATCTGACTAACGTTGTGGTGTGTGTGTGTGTGTGTGTGTGTGTGCAGCCCTAAAACTCCACAATGTCATAATAATGAGGGGGGGCAAATGACAGCTGAGTGTGTGTGTGTGTGTTTGTTAATGTGAATTGTGCTGCAGACTTTGATGTTGTCTTTGTCAAAACATTTATTTGGACTTTGTTAAAAATCTTCACATTAATCCCAGCTCTGGGTTCAGACCATGTCACTGGTTGAACTGGGAAAAGACCAGACTTCTGTTAATCTGGTGCCACACCTGACAGTCCTCACCAGCACAGCTTTACAAGTATGTGTGTGTGTGATTGTCTTTTTCTGCTTCAGTAAGTGGACAAACTCAAACACACACACACACTGAACACACACTGTGGTTGCCCCCCCCCTCCAGTCCGTTGACATCTGTTGTTAGTGTTCGTAGCTGTGCCTGTGGACACTGAGGAAGTGTGTGTGCACATGTGAGTGCATGTATGTAACTGTAGTGAGACAGTGGAGGAGAAGGAGGTGAAGGGAGGAGAAGGAGGTGAAGGGAGGAGAAGGAGGTGAAGGGAGGAGAAGGAGGTGCTGGATGCTAATCCTGTCCTGTAGCCAGGACAAGACTAAATTATTTTTTTAATGATTCTGATATTTCTGTTGGTCCCTGAATGCCCCTTGTGTTTCCTATCGTACCTGTTACGCACACGCCACTGAGTCGGCCTCTAATAAAATACACATATATGTTGAAGGCTGTCGTTTGTGCTGCAGATACTGCCCTCTGTGAGCACACACCACTCTGTGCTCTTCCGTTTGTATTTACTCCGTGGAGCAGGTGCCTCGGTGCAGGTTGACTGTCTTCATCTCCAGGACCAGTTTGTTGTTCCAGCTGTGAAAACTGGGCCGGTGGTTCTGTTGTGGGGAGGGGGGGGGACATGATACTTTGTCGTTTTTAACAAAACTGAACAAATTCATCATCCTGGCTTTGGGCTGCAGTAACAACCTGACACCAGGATGTGTGTGTATTACTGTGGCCTGGACTGGACCACAGTAATACACACCTATTGAGTGTGTGTGTGCTTGGGTGCACTTAACCAATGCCCCCCCCTTCACTTCTTATGGTTTGTCTTGTCATTACTTTCTGGGATTAGCTGCAAGAATTTGATCTGTTTTTTTGAGAGCAAGTCATGTGACCTAAAGATTCTGAGACGAAAACTTTAGCTAAAAGTCTTAAATCAGAGTGAAGTGGAATGAACAGGTGGCTGCTGGCGACACCTGCAGGTTGTTCCTCATAATCCTGTATGTTGGAAAAGAAAGAAAAAGTTGAACTTGGAGTCGATGAAGATGTTTGAGATGATTTGGACATCATTTTTAACTAACGGCTAACCTTTAGCTGTATTTGAGGGAAGTTCAGCTACAGCTTGGCTAACATTAGCGGAGGTCACAGTTGGTGCTAACGTTTAACTCCTGCTTATGTTTTCAATCCAAATTCATTAGCTGAACTGTTGGGCTAACTTTTAGATCACATTATTAGAGATGAGCAGTTTGTCTGTAGCAGCTGAGAAGCTTCATCAGGACAACAATGAAGTGTGGGGGGGGCGCTGGGAGGGGTAGTCATGGGGGAGTGAGGTGGTGGTGGTGGTGGTGGGTGGGGCTAGCTTTGTTTAGGTGATGGGGTGAACAATAGGCATCCTCATGGGTGTGTGTGTGTGTGTGTGTGTGGAGTCGACTGTGAGGCCAGTTCAGACTTGTCTCTGCTCAGGGACCAGACTCAGGAAACTGGATTACTGTGGTAATCTGACTAATCTGAACAGAACTGGACAAAGACGTCCACATTAATCTGTCCTTTACACACAATCGGTTCCAGATCTTTCTTTCACAATTCCCCATACAAAGTCCGGATCTCAGAGCGACTGATTGGCTGCGTCAGGATCCAGGTCATGGTCCTGTGTCCTGGGAAGGGAACAGGAAGGCTAGATTACAACTACGTCCGGCTGAGGGTCCGGATCCTGAGGAACAGACGGGACAAACATCCGAGCTCTCAGAGTCGGGAACTGTTTTCTGCTGTGGTCTTTGTTATGCATTCACTGATGACTCATTGATGTTGTGTGTGTTGGTACCGATGTTGGTACTGATGAGGTTTCTTGTTCCGTGGTTGACATGGCGTCACATGGTGGTCCACATGGTGAAATCCAGACCTAAACTAGTACAGAGCCTCCTCCATGAGTTACTGATGATGTCAGCGGTTCCTGCAGCTACATACACCCACGTGGAACAAACTTTCAGGGTTAGGCTCCGCCCCCCCCCCCCCCACCTGACCTGATTCCATCATGTTAGTATTGTTCCAATGAACTTTGGACCACATCAGAACCAGGTTTTAGGGTCGGAGAAATGCTTGTACAGAAGAGAAAGTTGAAAACTTTTTTTTCACTAAAGACACTAAAGATCAGAGAAATTGTTTGAAAACACACACACACACCCTTGTCCTGCAGCCGTCCGTCCGTCTGTCCATCCGTCCGTCTTTGCTGAAGTCTAAAGTTTTCTCTCTGTTTCTCTCCGTATGTTCCACAGGTTCCCTGGCCTGACCTTTGACCTTTGACCTTGGACCTTCTTCTTCTTCTGCTGTCAGTTTTTTTCTGACATTTTCCATTTAGCGCGGGTGCTATCAGCTACAAAAGTTGTAAAATAGCGTTAGCTGCCAGGATGGATCGCAGCAGCTGGAGCGGCAGTGAGAGTCCTGGAGAAGACATGGACAGACTGAGTGACTCAGGTGGAGATAAAACCATGGACGGCGACCCTGAGGGTGTCTGGAGCCCCGACATCGAGCAGAGCTTCCAGGAGGCCCTGGCCATCTACCCCCCGTGTGGAAGGAGGAAAATTATCCTGTCGGACGAAGGGAAGATGTACGGTGAGTGACGTACCACAGACTAAAACCTGAAACTGAATCAGTCACACAGTAAATGTGACCTCTGCTTTTAACTTATCATCAAAGTCAGTGAGGGGGGGTGGGGTGTGTGTGTGTGTGGGGGGGCAGTGTTAAGCCCCCCGGGGAGCAGTGTGTGCCTTGCTCAGAGCACCTCGGTGGTAACCTGGCAGCTGGTGGACTCGAACCTGAAGCCTTCCGCTTCCTTAACCACCAAGCCACCACTGGCTCTGAGGAAGAACAACTAGAACTGGGAGGAGTCCCCGCGAGACAGGTGGAGAGGGTGGGGCCGGCACCAGGGGGGGAACATGGGAGGAAGGAATAGGTGGAGGAGAGACGGGAGCTGAGGGAGAATCACAAAAAAGGCAAAGATGTATATGAGTGTGTGTGTGTGTGTGTGAACTAATAAAGTGATGAACAGATGGTCCTCTGGCTGCCACCAGCTGTGCCCCCTCCCCTCCTCGCTTGTCCCTCCCTCCCCCTCCCCCTCTCTTTGCTCAGTTCTCTCTCCTGATTCTCTTCAGAACCAAATCCCAGCAGCAGCAGCAGCTAAAACAGCTTTAAAACAGCTGTGGCTCCCGGACCGATCACCTGTTAAAAAAAAAGGGGTTAC